AAGTACACTCACGAGAGTAGAGGTGCACCTTTGTGGCTTAAGTGACTTGTATCATATAATTTTATAGAAGAAATGAGTTTATAGTTAATTTCATGACCATGGGGTAGGTATGGCTTCGCTACAAGTATAGTTGATTCACTACAAAAGTAGGTTTCACATACATTAAGAAATCACGCCATAACTAGTCAGGATAATAACATACAAGTAACCGGTAATTTCATTTGCAAGACTAGTAAGGAATTCCATACCTTTAGGAACTTTCTATTGTATTTTTGTTACTTTTATAGTGTAAATTTAATTTCTTATATTTGTGATAGTCTAAATAATAAAGGAATTCGAAAATCATCGGTAATTGACAATCTTCCCTGTAGGATCGACACCTAATACCCCTATGCTCAATAAACGACTCGTATACTTGCAAAAAATCGCGTGTAGCGTATTTAGAAATTTATAAATATAAAATTTGACTGTGGATGAACTAATTGTTATATGTATACCCCGCGTTCGTCACTAAGTAGTAGGAAAGTGATTTTCTGCAACAAATCACTCTCTACTTGACCTCTTTATATAGGAGAAATTATTTAAAAAATAAATGAATTTAATAAATACTTGTATGAATAGATTCAAGGTATTGTGTACAAATTCATGCACTTTAATTTATGCATCTCATGATCCTATGATCAAAGACATGAATATATCCTTACATTCAAGGATCTTCACGTACATGAATATATATACATTCAAATTCATGAATGAATATACATTTATCATAATGTAAATACATCTTAGAATCAATTGATTCATAATACAATATATGTATGTACATCCTAGAATCACTAGATACAAATTTTGAAAATTTCCAACACACTGCTTGAAATATATACCCTTTAAAAGTTTAAACACTAGAAAGTCAAATGTTACTTCTTATTTTGTTATAGATACGTTCAATATGATTATCTGCTCTCCTTGAAAATAATTGCAATTATGTCAGCAAGATTTTTGAATAAATCCAAAGCACTGTCAAATTGTGTTGTATATAACTTGCTGCACACTGCCTTGCTAGTCTGTGCATTATCCTGCTGAAAAGATAAACTGATTAGAGCTGTACACATCATCTTTGTGCAATAAATGGTATTTGGATGGCACAAGGTGTTCCTCAAATGCACACACGTTAGCCTGACTTTTCACTTGCAATACACATTGTTTGGTTAATTACCATGTTTTGCATACACAGGAATTAAACATCACATGCTCCTTTTCACTTCTTCACACAGAGTAGTATACAGTAATTGAGCAGTATAGCTGCAAACAAATCAAGCCGACTCGTGAAACCGATCAAAACTCGAGTCGACCTCAGATTAAGTTGATCACTCGAGCTCAAGCAAGTATAGATGTGCTCAACTCATTATCTCATCAAACCAGTAAAATTTTTATGTCTATAATTTAATAGTAAAATTACGTGTATGCCCTCATTACTATTAATTAAGGTGAATGTATATTTTATTTATTTAAAAAATAAATAAATTTATTTTTTTTTGAACTCCTGTAGGTTCAAACTCAAACTTAACTAAGCTTGAACTTGAAATCAAACTCGAGTTCGAATTTTATTTTGAGAGCTCATCCAGTTCAAGTTTCGTAAAACTAAATTGAGTTCGGTTCGATTAGGCGAAAGTTCAAGTCTAGTCTATTTGTTTGTAACCCTTCAAACTCAAGTTCGAATTTTATCTTGAGAGCTCATCGAGTTCAAGTTTCATAAAACTGAATTAAGTGCGACTCGATTACACGGAAGTTCTTGCAGAAGTTTGCAGAAATTTGCAGAAGTTTACAAGGTGTAAAGGTGATGAAGCAAGGGAAGTACTTGGGGTTGCCAATGGTAATCACGAAAACCAAAGAGCAAATCTTTGGCTTCATCAGAGATAAATGCCAAAAAACAATCCTCAACTGGAGAAATACACAACTAAGTCAAGCAGGGAAAGAGGTTTTGCTGAAAGCGGTAACTATGGCAATGCCAACTTATGCCATGTCGTGTTCTAAGCTGCCCGTGAGGTTATGCAAAGACATCAACTCTCTGATGGCAAGATTTTGGTGGGGGGAGGGGAAAGGTAAAACGAAAATGCATTGGGTTTCATGGAAGAAAATGACAACTGCAAAAAAAGCTGGTGGACTTGGCTTCAAAGATCTTCAAAGTTTTAATAAAGCTTTGCTAGGCAAACAGATTTGGAGGCTCCTCACATGCCCCAATCTTTTGCTTAGCAAAGTGTTGAGAGCTAGGTACTATTCCAAGACAACACTCTTGAGCTGTGAAGTAAAGGGTAATGCATCATGGATATGGAAGAGTTTGATGAGCGCAAGAGAGGAGGTGCAGCGAGGAGCTAGGAAACAAATTGGAAATGGGAAAAGTACCAGAATTTGGGAAGATGCTTGGATGTTGGAGGGTAAGGGAGGTAAGATTGAGTCCACAAAACCCCCTGGTTGCAAGGTCACAAAAGTTTGTGAGCCGATATCCAACTTTAGGTGGAAATCAGCTCTCATTTTCAGGCTTTTTAGTTCACAGGAAGCAGGCCACATACTCAAAACACCTATAAGCTTGATAGGAAGACCGGATTGCTACTTTTGGACTCATAGCAAAAACGGAACCTACACTGTCAGGTCTGCTTATGCAGCACTCACATGTCCTGCCAGGCAGTCTATTGTACAAATGAACAACAAGGGGGAAACAAGTTGGACAGGGGGAAATAGCAAAATCTGGAAACAGCTATGGGAACTTAGAGTAAAGCACAAGCACAAGTTGTTTTTATGGAAGTGTCTGCATCAAGTGTTACCAGGACGAGAGGCAATCTTTCGGAGAACAGGGAAAGGGGAATTAATTTGTAAGCAATGTGGTGAAAACCGTGAGACAGTGGAGCACATTTTCTTCCAGTGCAGGAAAGCAAGGATGATATGGAAGATGGCTCCATTACAATGGGATGGTCTTCATGAGTTCACAAACGACTTCAGAAAATGGTGGAGTATACTAATGGAAGTTAAAGCTAGGAAGGAAGGAAGGGAACATAAAACATTGACAGTTGACATTCTCTGGCAGATTTGGAAAGCCAGGAATGCAGTAGAGTTCGAAGACAAAGAGAGACATCCAATGAAAGTGATTACAAAGGCAGTCATGGAGTGGGAGGAATATCTGAAATCCCAACAGGCTGAACAACAAGTGAGCATCTCAGAAATAGATACAGCAAATGCACAAGAGGAAATGGTGGGCGAAGATGCAAACACACTGAGCATTTGTGTACATGTGGGACAGCACTTCGAAGGTCAGAAAATGGGAATTGGCATTACGGCAGAAAACAGCATGCACCACATATGTGCAGTGTGGATGATGAAAGAAAGAAGCACTGGATCACCTGTACTGGACAATCTTGTGGCTATACAGTTGGCACTTTGCAAGCTAAAGGAACGAGGCTGCCTCAATATCAAACTTCAGACACCAAGCAATCAGGTTTCCAAGCTTATCAACTGTCAAGTCCCATGCAACATGCGACTAGCAGCCCACGTACAATACATAAAAGATCTTAACTTAATGTTTAGGACATGCTCATTTGATATTCAGTCCGGTAATGATAGGATTAATTGCCTCAGTCATAAACTGAGCAAGCAAGCAATGCATTTACATTTTGATGAGGAATTCTTTGATCCTCAGTGTCTTAGTACACTTTTGTGAAGAAAAACTTGAGCCCTTGCTCATACAGTGTAATTTCTCTATTAGTAGAAATAAAAACTTCTATCATTTCAGGAACAAAAAAAAAAGATTACACGGAAGTTCAACTCTAATCTGTTCGCTTGTAACCCTACTGACACAGTAATGGGCAATTGAAGAGAATAGTTGATGGCCCGACATTAGGTTGAGCTAATGTGGTTCAGATCTGGGCCATCAACAAGTGAAAGAGCCAAAAAAAACTTTAACTTGAATTGGATTTTTATTAAAAACTTGAATTGGATGGCTCAAATTGGTCAAGCTGATCTAGCTCAGATTGGTCATTGAGTTGGAACATTTTAGCATATGAATCCAGCTTAGGATTTCCCTTTAGTAGATGGACTTTGACATGAACCTATTCCTTCTGAGATCATTCGTTTATTCTGTGTCTCAAATAGGTACTCAATAAACTAAGCTTTTGTTGTGTTTATTGTCTAGTGAAATACTACACTCATTGTTTTACAAAACATGTTCAATGCATTTTCGTTGGTTAAACGCCCAATAATGCCCCAACATTTGAGGCGTAGCCAGTGCATAAAAAGCGTAGGCCCTGAGACTAAGAATAAACAGGTAAAAAAAGACAAAAATAATATGGGTTGCAGAGAAGCCGATTAATGGACAAAATTCTTGAGGTCAAATAAAGAGACAGGAATACATGCTGAATGGACATTTGGCTCTGCTAATTGATGTGATGCACTGGAAAGAGCAAATTCTTCAAAATTGTGTACTAAATAATTGGTGAATTTTTCAGAACTATAAGAGAAGAAACGTTTGATTAGACGAAGAAGACTGTAGGCAGCATTTGGAGCAGCTAGCGATGGGCATGCAATGTATTATTTAGGTAATTCTTTTGCAACTAAGGTCCAAAGTTTGAGCTGAAATTTTTCAAAGAAACAAGTTTACTTTATGAAAGTCGTGCACAACTTCTAATTTTGCAATATTAACCTTCTTAGAATTGAGATTGGTCCTAAATATGTGCGAGGTCCAGAAAATTCTAAGCTAATTCATTGATGTATCTTAACTAAGTATTTGATGCATTACAACACTTTTATTTTGATTTGTAACCCATTTCATAATTCAAAATTAAAATTTCAGTGGGCTTACACCTTGGACTTTCGGGTTTTGATCCTACCTCAAAGCCAATAAAACGTCTTACCCAATGTCTTCGCTAATGTTGAGGAAAGCAACAAAAGTTTAGAACTAGCACTACTTACATTGGACAAAGCATCATTGGAATATACCAAGAAGTATCTAGCTAGCGTTTGGCCAAGAAGGCAACGAGTCTTTGGAACTTAGACACATCACAAGGAAGAACAATTCTGCTTCTGTTATCGAAACCAAATTCTTCAGCAGCCTTATCAAGCAGTTGTTGGAATAATGGATTCTTCAGAAAAGATGTAGGAAGGACAAACCTAGTCATTTCACTTCCCACGTACACTACAAAGTGCCCCTTTGGTGCTGTTTCTCTGCCTTCGATCTCAACTTGTTTAGGCATTTTATCTGAAGAAGGTGAGAGACAAAAACAAGTAAAGATTGCAAGAAGATTAAAGGGAATGGAGAGCATGTTCTCACGTCAAAAGATGGCCATCTAATATATAGAGAACTTGGAAAGTGTGCCTCTATTATTTTAAGAGATAAACAAGGAAATAAAATTGTGAAATTGATAACAAATAATTATTGCCCTTAAAAGGCAAATAATATGTGGCCCTAATGTTGAATTTGCTCTTCTTGTATGGCATTAAATTACGTAACTAACTATAATATATGTAAAAATATCATAAGATTTTTGCTAACATATTGACGAGAAAAATTAGCAACATATTCTGTTGCACCTCTATATGATAATATTTATGGAATAAGTCTAAACATGGGTTAATTGAATCCTCATCGGCTTGGATTTCGTCTAAATTCATTTATCAGAATATCAGATGTTGAAGAAAAGAAATGAGATAAAGAAAGAAGTTGACCAACTAATTACCCAAAAAAAAAAAAAAGGAAGTTGACCAATGAGTATACATTTCAATGAAGTGAAGTTTGCCAGGGATGTCTTTGTGCTGTAGCCAGCTTCTGCACTACTTTGCAGCACATGGTGTCAGTACTGTGATTTATCAGCAATATGTTCCATACCGAACACTTATAACGCTGAAATGTGCATTTCATCCTTTACCATAACAAGAAGTACGGTGGGAATAGAAAGAGCCATGCAACTCATGCAATAATTACAGTATTTCTAGCTAAGGATTACGGGGACAAGGGGTTAAAAATGTTGTCCTTAGCTTAACCATTGAAACATTTATTGTTGAACTTGAGAAATGTACATAATTGTATCCTAGCTAGTCACATGAAAATACAGTCTCATTAATAATCACAAATTATCTAAGGTCGTTTCCCTTGATCCCGATCAGTCCAATATCCAATTTCGAAAAATCTGCGAAGAAAGCCGTAATATAATACAAAATAACTTGTTTCACATTCTTGCTATGGACCTCGCTATGGGGTTGGGAATTTCACATTCTTGCTTTGTATAGTATTTACCTACAGTATAATATACTATTTAGCAGTAGTGCTTTTTCATGTATTGAATGAATTCTTTGTACAAGCCTATTTCTGTATTAATGAAAGTGACCAATTTTACCTAAAAAAAATACAAAAATAACTTATTTCCAGTGTTCCTTTAAATAAAACTTATCTTCCAAATATGGATTGTCAAAAATACTGTTGGAACATTTACAGCTTTATACCTTGTTCTTTTTGAAATCTGCTCGTTTAAAGAACAAAACATATGTAACATGCCGCTAAGCTAGTTGCAGAAAAGGTTGCTGTGGCAGATTTTCCACTACTTACTGGATCGCTATGGCCGTTTTTGGTCCCTATTTGACTGGTTCGTTTCAACTCTCAACCCTCAATATCTTTTTCTTTTTTCTCTTTTCGGTTACCTATTCTCAATATCTCACAACCATACAGTTCCATCACACATGCAAAGGAAATTCCCAATTCCCAATTTGTTAGAGATAGCTTTTTATCTTTTATTTATTTCTGCGTTGGAATGTAGGTGGGGAAGGCACTAGTGTCCTCAATTTATCAGGTATACACATTTTACTTTTGTACTTTCTAGTTCCTATGGTACTTCCCCTTCCAAGTGGATTATTAACTAAACTAGAGATAGAGACCAGATGACCTCTTAGTCAACTATCTACAAGCAAGATGACATCTGGTTGGATTCAAACCATACTGGCCAAGCAAACAGGGCCATGTTGACTTAAATAAAACACTAACTCCTCTTGGCACCTTTAAACTTGATATTGTTCCAACATTGCACCCCAAAATTTGCTTTTCAAACAATATGTACCCTAAATCGTTTTATTTTGTCCCATTTTCATTGGATAGTTTAAGTGTCAAGAAAAATTAAGTGAAACATCAACACTATATCAAGTGTCTACTTTGCACCCTTAAATATCACATCAATACTCACAGTGTATCCTAAACTTCAATTTTAGAATTTGCTGAACTCTAATATGTTTTATCTATTTCGAATTGGTCCAAATTAGTTCATTGTCCACAAAACTCCTGATTTAAAAACGGGCAAGCGAGCATCAAATAGGAGGTGCGTTAGTATTTCTAGTTGCCTATGTAAATCTGATTTTTGCATTGTTGGCCTTACATAATGACTATCTTTGACATTTTTTGTTTTGCATAGAATATCCTTGCTAGTTTTTAATACTCACGTGCCTGTGATTTAGTCAATTTTTGGATAGCAACAACCATTGGACTACATGGGATGGTTAAAACATTTCAGGGTGCAAAAAGGTCTCAAATTGAAGTTGAGGGAGAGAATGGGAGAATACATCAAAAGTTTAAGGGTGCAAAGTGGAATGAATTTTTGTCAACTTCTCTCAAGACCATTGCCTATTGGACCATAGTGGGATGGATAAGAAAATTTTCAGTACACTTCACTGCTTCGGGATGTTGTTTTTCCATAAGAGAAAAATAAACCATGCTTTTTTCTCTTTCCATTCTGAATTATGCCTTTAAGAAAATTTGGTCATAATCTCAGCAGACTGCAAAATCGTTGCCTGTCAAAAAATATAAAAGAAATTATTGATGAACACCAATTTTGGAATGAGGCATGTACACTGGTCGTGTTCTAACATTCTGCAACATGCATGGTCCGAATTTACTCCCCCTAAATGTCACATACGACTTTTATAATTTTCTTACATTTGCGGCGCAGCCTTCAGATTTGGCGGCATCTTTATCTCTCCATGCATCGCTACTCAGAATGAAGTTCGTGCTGCCCATTTTGCAAATCATGAAGCAAATACCAAGTGACAAATACACATTCAATGTGCTAGAGAGATACAGATATAGGGAGTTCATGACAATAATGTACCAAGTACCATTCTAGAAGTTGTGGCTGTACTTGGTTAGGCCTTGAATTTTAGCCTCAGATAGCCACCAGTTAGGGAATGGAGTACTCAGTTATCTGATCATAACTCTGTAAGCCTGTCACAGATCAGGGCCCTCCCTCCATTCCCAATCCAGTAGTGGATCATGGATTCATGAATAGTAGTCAATGATTGTAAGATTCCATGGAAGTCCAACATTGTCACGTGCTGCTTGGACGGGAGAGTCGTCTTTCAGTTGCCAATTACTCATGTTCACTCGATTGAAATTCTGCTAATATATATGTATATATATTGTCAAAAGGTCATCATATTCTGCTAAGTATAAGAAAATGTCAAAGATAAGTTTTGTGTTTACAGTACTAAAGTTAATATATTTTCGCAAAATCTTTATACATACCACTCTATTACCCAACTACTGAGGTTAAGAATGAAATTTAAGCAAAATGGGACAGCTATTTGTTAAAAATCTAGAGTAAATGAATGATGATTAATACATAACTGTAACTATGACGTGATATTTTATAATTAACATAGAGAAATGTTATTTGCACTTCAATTTTGTTATTTGCACTCTCACTATTTGTTTTATCATATAGTCTAATAAATGAAAATCGTATAATTAAAATGACAGTGGGAACATTATTAACAAAAATGGGTATAAATAATATTTTCCTAAACATATGATAATCAAATTTGTTGTATCAATCACTAAAACACATTTTAGGATTAAGTACAAAAATTCACCCTTAGTTATAGCCAATGACAGAGCTAGGATCCTATATTGAGGGGGTGCGATTGTCAATTTCAGCATAAAAGATGCTCTGAGATTTATATTAAAAGAAATACTATGTATTTCAATTTAAAATGAAAATCCTTTTTCCCTATTAAAGTGAAGTCAAAGTTTAATTTGGAACATGTCCAAAATGTTTGAAAGAAGTAATCAATAAAAATTTTTACTTTTTAGGGGGTCAATGGAGAACGAGTAGGGAATACATAAAACTTTAGAGGATAATCTATATAAAGAAAGAATTTTCTTAAATCTACAAAAGGGCAAATCAACTAAGAAAGAGAATTTTACATAATTCAATGGGTGCAAAATATAGTGGAAACTTAAATATGTTAAGAAGTTTTAAAACCATTCTATAATTTTATCAGATTTGAGGGGGCGATTGCCCACCTTCATTCCATTGTGGCTCTGCCACTGGATATGGCGAGCGAGTTTTGCAATCAGTCAAATTCATCAATGTGATCATAAAGCCCCTATTTTAAATTGTTGAAATTTGAGAAAAGTGGCTTTCAACATAGTATGTTAAAGAAAGACCCAGGAAGTTTTGGAAGTCAAGCCCATTATTTTTATCCCCTCTTTTAGTATGACCAACAGCAAAAAAAATGTATGCTTTCATAAAAAGCAAATATCTAGTTACTAAATGAAAAGAACACCCATATGCACGTCCGAGAGGAGGCACTAACACTCTATAAGCAATTTTGAACTTTTAGTAATATTCTAATATTTTAATTTTTCAATGATATATTTTTTCCCATCTCGTGTATAATGGGCAGGATATTTCTCTCAAGCACAAAAAGTGTACTTGTGGGATGAAATTAACAAAATCCATATCCATACATTTATCAGTCTGTTCATTATTATGTCAGGAATATTAATGCTTTTTTAAACAATTTTTGTTTAGGTTGTTATAAACATTAGAATTGACTAATGGTCTTGGAGATAAATGACCGTAAGAAAAGAATAATGCTAAGGGTTAAATGTGAACACACTATATCTTAAGCAGATTCACTGTAACTAATCCTTAAGGGTTTTTTTGAAATTCCCGTTATACAATGTTACAGTTGACTAATGATTTTGGGTGTAAGTGAACCAAACATCACCTTAAGAGGCAAAGTGTAAAACTAGCTATAATTGAGGATGAGTCTTTGTTATTAGCCATTTTTATGATGTGATATGTGTGACAGAAATTTTTTTTAAAAAAAACATGTTGGAAATAATAAAACAAAATTTCAAACAATCACATTCACAGACATGTTTTCTGAGATGTTTGTTAGATAGTTAATTGTGCACTTAATTTGTGAATATTTTCTCCTTTATTTTGCTAAATTATGAGTTTAATTGCTAGATTATACTTATATTTAGATTTTGATGTCGTTTCTAGGAATTTGTGGTGAAAAGAGAATAAAAACTAAATTAAAGGCTGAATTTCTTATTCTACATGGCATGGGGCGCGTTAGTGCATCTACAATGTCCGTATTTCGCGGGATTGGATTTCGGATTCATTGCTTAAAATATCAGGCACCATCTCATTGTTGTCGTTAATTAGGAAAGAATTCAAATTCCTTATTGGGCTGGAGATTTTCGATTCTATCACAAAACCAATTGGCCATATCTTATGTTCATAGGAAATAGAATCATTGTTTTAAGGGAAAATGGTCAATTTCGTCCCTATACTTTTTTATAGTGTCAATTTAATCCTTATATAATTTTTTTGGCCAATTTGATACTTATACTTATTTTGTGGTATCAATTGAGGAACGTCGCGGCGGCGCCATCATGTTAATTCGATTAACCTACTAATTGAGCAACTAAGCAAGGGTATTTCAGGCACTTCACTGCTTTTTCATTTTTCACCTTTTCTTCTTCATCTTGCTTATCACCATCCACAGAAGCCATAGCCGGAGTAGCAGACAAGGTCTCACTCCAACTCAAGGATAGATGCCGGTGACGTACGCAAGACCAGGCTTTCAGCAGAGTCCTCAAATACACAAGAAGGAATGTCATTTTGATTATGTGGCTGGGAAACCGCCATTGAGCTAGATTGATTATTATATTCATGATTGACATTAGAACATTTCTCAGACGCATTTTGATCAGCCATGGCCCTAGCTTCAAATTCAAGTCGTTTCGCTTCATAGGCTCTTGAAGCTTCATTTATAAAATAATTACCCAACCAGATCCTCTTTCCCTTGAACGGGAAGCGAATTTCTGCAGCCCATTTTCCCCATTTCCTCTGCCTGAGACCTTTGTATTTGGAAGAGGAAGGCTTTGATTGAGGTTAACTCTACAGTTTAGCTAAACCAGTCTTTTTCTTGGGGGTGTTTTTCTCCCAATTATTGCTCTCTTGACAGGAATTTTTAGCTTTCGGTGCAACAGCCATAGCCACAGGCTAACGAGGTTGCCTTTTCAACTCCACAATAGGGAGAATAATCTCCCTAAGAAATCTCTTAGGCTTCTTCTGAATCACCCTTGCATCATCTGATGAATCAGTATCAGTAGCATCCGAATCGTAACAAGACCCGAATCTTCCTCACGGGCTTGGTGGATTCAACCATGATTTTTGGCCTTTTGTTATGGTACTCTTGATTCAGTAAGACTTATCTCCGAGGCTCTGGCATTTTTATTTTCTTTTTCTTCAATCACTCATCTCCAAAACCCTGAATCAAATACTTAGAAAATCTCCAAGAATGTGCTTGTATCCCTGCAACAGAATTAAACAAAAATCAATTACCTAACATAATTTAAATTCTTCCAAAAAAATAAAAGAAAAGGGGATGTATATCAGGTATGAGGCCCTCTAAAGAATAAAAAAAGTGATAAAAATCACTTTATGTGAAGTCCCCAAAACATATTACTCCAGAACAAGTCCTTTTGGGCCTCAAACGTACTGAAACAGCTGGGAAAAGAAGAGAGAGCTCTCTGCTGGTTTGCAGAGAAGAGGGATTTCTAATTGGTGATAGCTTGTAACAGAACAGCAGAGGAAACTGAAATCCAGTAGAGCTTCTTCAGCAAAGCCCCAATATTCCCAAAACTCCACAGGAATCTTGCCAACATAAATCCAGTAGGTTTAGAATTGCATCGTTCGTCGGTTCAACCCAGCAGTGAAGTACCCGAAATACCCCTGCTTAGTTGCTCAATTAGTAGGTTAATCGAATTTACACGGTGTAGCCGCCGCGGCATTCCTCAATTGGTACCGCAAAATAAATATAGGTATCAAATTGGCCAAAAAAAATTGTATAGGAACTAAATTGACACTATAAAAAAGTATAGAGACGAAATTGGCCATTTTCCCTTGTTTTAATAGGATTCCTTTTTAGTTAGGAAAGAGTTTCCCTTTTTGGGTAAAATAGAGTGGAACTTGGGGAGCCCTGGGAGATTATTCATTTTTCTCTTTTTCTCTACAATAAATCCTAGTATTTCTTGTGGCCGCGAATCCACCGCGAGGAGTGGCTAAACTTTTTCTCTAGTTGAAGGGTAATTGAAGTTTTAGTTCAACAACACTGTGAGATCTAATTTAGTTTAGTTATTTCATTTATTTATAAGTATCTATATATTTCCTGTTCATTCATGATTATGATTATTTTATACGATTAAATAATTGGCCACTATTTAATTGTAGGAATAATTTACTGTCATCTAAAATATCAAATCCGTAATTGTTTGATGGTTTTAGTGTTTGTGGCAATTGATATAATTTGATTGTATAGAAACTTTCGAATTTATGTCACTGGAATATATAATCTAGTTTAAATTAATCGAGATTGTGTGTTTGTTGGTTAGAATTGATAGTTTCTCTAATTATTAATGCTGTCAATAGGTTAAATCTTAAGAGCTTGTTTAGGGTTGCTTAATTGGCAAGAGAAATAATCACAGAACTTGTTATGGTTATTGAAAAAGTAAGGAAAGGCAGGTTGGCAGAACTTGTTAACAATCATAACCAATTTATTTATGAATAATTGATTTTACCTTTCCATCGATGATCAGTAAATGGACCAAAGTGGAGATTAAACCTTTGACTAGAGAGTTGTATATTATTCATTTAGTTTTATTTAATTAGTTTTTGAATTATTATTTTTATTTAAGTAAATTACTTAGGTTAATTTTCCACAATCTCCCTTTTTGTTTATTGCTTCTCTAAGAAGATAAATCACCCAGTCATTGTAGATACAATCCTACACACCACTACACTCGAATTCATATTATTAGAGTAGAAATTTTTATTTTTGCTGGTTTGACAAGCCAACAATGTTCATGCATACGTGCACACTCTTTTAAGCTTAAGATCTGCAATTAACCTTCCAGTAATCAATTTCTGTCGATTGTCGCCCTTACTCGAAAAAAAAAATTCAATTTTAATTATCCCATACTTTGAATATCTTTATACTCTTCTTTCTTATTAACATTTTTCTAAAAATAGGTACTTTTAGTGGTGGGGTTACAAATATTTTTCAGTGAGGACACAAATTGATAATAGCAAATATTTTTAGTCCTTCTAAAGAATAACTCCTAACACCAATAGTCATCATGACAAGTAACAATATATTCATGTAATGTATGGAATAACACACAACACACGTTCAAACTCATTTATAAATACTTTTCTTTTACAATTGCTCACAACGAGTATTTATGTTTTGATAACATTTGTGCTTCTTACTCGTATCTGTATACTAGACTTGATATGCAACCAGAATGGACAATTGCGAACACAACAAAGGTTCTAATTTTAAGTGAATTGTTCAAACCATTTGAGCAAAAAGCAAAAGAAACTAATATAAATGAATTCAAAATTGGTCTTCTAGCATCTTAATATAATATCCTACTTCTCGATGACCTTGAGATTCGAGTAAGATGAGCTTGCATGACCCTGACTAAGTGATTGCAAGAAACTTGATAAATGGCTAAACTCAGAAACACCTTTCGGACTTCATGTTTTGGGTTTAATTGGCATTTGAATTATTAGATTACTAGATTTCTCTTTGATTATATTATTTGATTATTTATGTAACCAATTGTTGGGATGGGTCGTACAAAGTGGGAGGTAGTTGATAAGTACAAATTTAATTGTTAACAACGTTAAATTTGGTACATTAAGGAATTTTTTTGAGTTTTGTAGGTTGTTGCCTAATGCTTGAAGTTTCCTTAAATATTTTAAAAATTATTGCAAGAGTATGTTAATTTGCCATTTTCAATGTTAAATCAAGATTAAAAGTATTTAAAAATATATTAAAGGAAGGTTCTTGCATGGTGGTTTCGGCCTCGTCAGAACAGATTTGTTGATTTTGTCAATCAAAATTTGCCTTGCTATATTTGCTGGTTCCTGTGGAAGGCCCGTAATTATGCTGTCTTTGAGTGAAAGAAAACACAAATTCACACGATCTGGGATAGCATTATGGCAGAATTAGTTGCTGCTTTTATGCTGAATTTTCCGGGGTGATTGGTGGATACTAGTTCATGGCAACCTTTCTATGCCTATGTTTCATCTTGTCAGCCTCGGTTTTTTTTTTTCAAATTGGTGGCTTGGCAGTTTCCCATGGGTACGCTCAAATTAAATATTGATGGCTGTTCGTATAGTGCCGATCATTATTATAACTTGTGAATATTTTACATTAAAGTATTGGTACAACCAGTTAACAGCGGTTCCCACATCCAAGATTGGTATCTTTAGCGACAATTGCACCACTATTCATTTAGGTTTCTAATATTCACAGTAACATCAAGTGGTAATATGGTAACTTTGGTAATAAAATTAGTAAATTATAAGTGTGATATGAAATTTACCCTTTAAATACCAAACGTTACTACTTCTCTAATGAAACTTATTACTTTATAATTAGTAAGTTTAATTCAAATAATAGTAAGTTTTTGTTGAAAAATGATATGTTTTACAAATAAAATGGTAAATTGGTGAATTGTCCAAACTTACTACTTTGTTTCACAAACTTACCATTTTACTTAAGAAAGTTACAACAATTATAATTAGTAAGTTTAATTCAAATAATGGTAAGTTTTACAAATAAAATAGTAAATTGGTGAATTGTCCAAACTTACTACTTTATTTCACAAACTTACCATTTTACTTAAGAAAGTTACAACAATTATAATTAGTAAGTTTAATTCAAATAATGGTAAGTTTTACAAATAAAATGGTAAATTGGTGAATTGTCCAAACTTACTACTTTATTTCACAAACTTATCATTTTACTTAAAAAAGTTACAACAATTATAATTAGTAAGTTTAATTGACATAATGGTAAGTTTTTGTTGAAAAATGGTAACTTTTACAAATCAAATGGTAAATTGGTGAATTGTCCAAACTTACTATTTTCTTTCACAAACTTACCATTTTACTTAAGAAAGTTACAACAACTATAATTAGTAAGTTTAAATTTGATGAATGATTAAAGTTACTAGTTTAGTGAACAAACTTACCATTTTAATTAAAAACTTACACATAATTTATAATCATTATTTTAATGGAATTAGAAAAGACGCTAAAGGACCAAAATTGTCGCTAAAGGTAGGTAACTTAGACAACTACCGGCACCTAACATTATTTTAGTATTTCGTGAGGTGACTTGTCGTCACTACAGCAAGATCCTGAATTATTTCACATAATATTTTGCTTGCATCGTAAACATATTTTCCAACCCATCTTTTTATATTTTCAATTATTTTTTATCCCATATACATCATATCACAAAAAGTGTTACCGTAATTATTTCAAATAGCAATCTATCCAAACACAGTTATAAATGTTTGCTTTTTCAATTCCATTCGGTTTTTTGACAAGTGTATTGGCTAAAGTAAGAGCATTATTCACTACAACAAAAATAGCCTTTCCTGACATACCTATAAGGACACTTTCTGGTTTGTGTTATTATAGCAATCCTATCATGACACTTATTAATCAACTCAATAATATGTACTATAAATTTTTTTATTTCATCTGATATAAAAATAATAATGTGCCTTTAGACTACCTATCATGACACTTGAAAAAATGTGAGATGACCAAAAAAAAAAAAAGACACAAAACGACGTCGTTTTATTTTGCCAAAACTTGGTGAAAATTTTGCAAAACATTTTGCTGGCAAAATC